CAGACAAACAAGCAAAGAAAGGAGCGCAGCCAGCCAGCCAGCAAGCAAGCGAACGAAAGAACACAGAAACGAACGAAACAAACAACACGAGCAAAACAAACGAAACAAACGAACTGTGTGAATGACACGGAACAACACCAGCCAAAACGAATCGAAACGAGACACATCTAGAGAATACAACACACAGCACACTCAGTTCAAAGCAACAAGTTCAATACACAACAAAGCCACGACCTGTGACGAACTTATTGGTTTTCAAAGATGCCATTGGCATGTTTCGCATCCCTGGGAGACTCTCAGGCTCATCTGGTGCCACATCGTCAAAAACTAGTTAGCGGTTTGCGTGGGGAACTGACTCTTTTGCCCCACCCTGAAACTTCAGATGGTCCGCCCGACTTTCCCATGTCCTCTTGGGCACCTTTAAGATCTTCCTTCCACGCAGCTTGCAGCTTCCCTGCGGAATTGCTTCGGCTTTCCCCGAACTGGCTCATCATTTTGCCGTTATCCCCCGACCCTAGTTGTAGGTTGAAGGGAAAGGCCCCCAGATTCTGACTCCAGGCGGAAGCCGCTTTGATTGTTCAAAGTTGAGCATTTCGGGTCAACAGAATGCTTGAGACACTGGCTGGCGGAAGCTTCATTCGGCTGTCAATGTTCCTTCAGGCAAGTGGGCACAGCTGGAGCTGCAGTTGAACCAAGATCTCGCAGAGGCCAGAGGGGACAAAGCAAGTCGACTCACCCCTGGTTGGACACAGATTCGCGCATCAGCACAGTTGAATGAAAGTGTTTGAAGCAGAGGTTAATGGGAATGGCGATCGAGCCGCAATGAGTTGAATTGTTGGACCCTGCGATTCTATGCCTGAGCAAGGTTGATGAGCAAGGTTGCATGGCCTTACGGGCCAAGAAGGAACTTCGTTTGCCGTGCGTTTGAGTCGTTTTCAAACCTTGCCAGTCACGCATGCATCACGATTGCCCTTGACTCGAGGGCTGCTTTCAATTTGGAAGGGACCCGGGCACATGTCGTACGAACCTCGTTGGCATGGCAAGAAACGGGGTAGGGCTGCTCAATGAGTTGGGCAAAGGCTCGCGGTGCACGTTTCTACCAGTTGGGCAAAGGCTCGCGCAGAATTGATTTCAGTTTCGCTGAGGTTGCGGTTGCTTGAGTTTCGACCTGTTGATGACAGATGACAATGGTGGGATTCGTCTCGCGGAGCTGCGTCTGAAGCTCGGAGCGTCTGACAGATCGGCGCTAGGCCGAGGATGGGCTGTCCACTTGGGCTCCGCCGGCGAGCATCGGCAAGTTGGAGCGCTCCCGAGGCAAGGGAGCGCTTCTTTGCGTGAGTGGCACAAAGAAGCACCCGGTCATCTTTGAGTCCAACACACCTAGATATCCCAGATGCTGCTTTTTTCTAGGCACTCCCTAATATCAGCCAGAGTTTCTGGGAAATGGACACAAAACAGGCGAATCTTGGGCCACATTTGACAGCAGGCGGAGCTAAAGCCTGCCAGTTTCCTGCGAGGCTTCACTGAACCAGCGCCATCGCGATGCCTGCCGAAGCCGTCGAAGTGATCACAGTCCAGGGAGTGGGTTGGGCAAATTTCATTCAAAAAAGCCGACCCCTTTTGTCCCTGGGCCAAAAGGAGGTTGTTTACACGGCCCAACCCTGTGCTTGGATTGAGTGAGTTGATACCAATGTTTTGTCGACTTCGCCCCTCAACGTGCGAGCCGCACCAGGGATGGGACCCGGCTGAAAACGGCCTGGCGTCCCGTTGTACATAGATCTGGGGGCGGAGCGGGTTGAACAAAGTGCCCAGTCAACGGCGTCTGACCTGGTCGAAAGCTGAAGGCCTTGCGTTGCCAGCACTGAGGCGTTTTTTTTGCTGTTTGTTTTCTCTTGGCACCCGTCAAGGGGATTGTGACTGGACTTCCATACTTTTGGGAGCCTTGGGATGAACAAGTGGCTCATTGCAAATCTGCAGATTTCATGTTCTAACCTGAGACCGAATCAGCTTTAGGGCCGGCGTGCTTGAAAGGCCGGGCTGGAGTGGGGTCTCGCGGGCTGGCCAGGCGCCTTTTCGGGTTGCCCGCAAAAAAGAAAGAAAGAGTTGAACCAGTGGCCCAGGGGCTGGCCCACATCCCAGCAAACATCCCCAAACATTTTCAGGAACTCTGGCCTGGGGGTAAAACCCCAAACATGGAACTCTGGCTTCACTGCAGGCCATGGTGTGCGCGCCTGCCAATCAGCAGCTCGGCGAACGCCGTGTCTTTGAGCGTTGACCCTTTCACTTTCTGACTTTGTGGAGACATGTGCAGTGCACAAGGACTTTTTTGGCTAGCATAGAATTTGCCTTTTGCAAGCCGACTGGGGAGAGGGGGTTGGCCATGTGACTGTTGAAGCAGCCAATCCGGAGCTCGAAGCCCTCGTGTCCTCCAAGGGCCTCGCTTTTGGGCTTTCTGTCATCTTGCGAGGGGTTCCGCTGGCGGCTGTTGGGCGCATATCATGAGAAACCGAGAAAAGCATCTGAAGGCCTCGATCGGGTGTCAAATCACCAGATAGTTCTCGACCTTGTCAGAGAAGGCGCAACTTGAGGTCCGTTGGGTCGTTCGTCTTAGCCCGAGGACGCCTGGCAAAGCAAGCCGATTTTGCTTGCCGAATCGACATGCGGAGCCTTTCGTGGCCACATTGGTACAGATAGAAGCGCCGTAGCCAGTCACTCCAAGTCCCTATCTCCGCAGCATCCTGCGTTGACATTTGGCGCTCGCATGTCATGGGGAAATACGTGAATCGGGAGCACCGAGTCACCGCAACATGGACACACCCAATGTTCCCATCTCAGCAACGAGACGCATGCACACACACACACACTCACAGACACGTGCGCATACATTCCCACCAAGCATTGACGGAAGGCTTATTATTATTATCATCATCATTATTATTATTAATTTATTATTATTATTATTACTATTATTATTATTACTATTATTATTATTATTATTATTGTTATTATTATTTATTATTATTACTATTATTATTATTATTAATTTATTATTATTATTATTATTATTATTATTATTATTATTATTATTATTATTATTATTATTATTATTGTTATTATTATTATTATTATTATTATTATTATTATTATTATTATTATTATTATTATTATTATTATATTTATTATTAATTTATTATTAATTTATTATTATTCTTATATTATTATTATTATTATTATTATTATTATTATTATTATTATTATGTAGGATTGCATCGTAGCCAAGGTTTCCTCACCATGCCCGAATCCTTGCTGTGAGTGAAGCAAAAGCTACCAGGTTCTGCTGTGGCTGCAGCCTGCGATGGGGCACAGGCCTAGTGATCTTCGTAGGGGGCCCCAGTGGGTTGGTCAGCGGTTGGGTCCCAAGGTGGCAACTGGGAACGTGTCAAGACTTGGTAAGCTTCTTCGGAGTTTGAAGGTTGGGTTTGGAGCTGGGTTTTGGCGGGCGTTTTTTGTTTTGTTTTTTTGACAGTTGTGCGGGTTCAGGCCTGATAATGGATGGATAGGGGCATCGCTGACGGTTTGTATTTGCAGAGCTTGATCGCCGCGATCAGTGAGGACTGCGGAATTGGCATCCTTTTCCTCGTCAGCCTGGTAACTAGATCCGTGTTCCAAGTCGTCCGCGGCCCCCAGAAGCCCACAAGACGGCAGGAATAACATGGAGCTGGGGGTTGGCACCCCTCCTCGGCCGGGGTGTGGACTTTGGACGGTTGTTCGCAGGTCAACTTTCTCTTGGTGCTCCTGTTTCTCTTCCGTGCCGCCGGGAGCCTAGTGCCCTTCCGGGGAGTATGCTGGGTTAACGACATGGGGCTAGACCATGTCAAGGTCCAAAAAGACACCACCACCGCCACCACCACCACCACCACCACCACCAACAACAACCACCGCCACCGCCACCACCACCACCACCACCACCACCACCACCACCACCACCACCACCACCACCACCACCACCACCACAACCACAACCACAACCACAACCACAACAAGAACAAGAACCAGAACCAGAACCAGAGCCAGAACCAGAACCAGAACCAGAACAAGAACAAGAACAAGAACAAGAACAAGAACACGAACAAGAGCAAGAACACGAACAGGAACAAGAACACGAACACGAACAATACCCATAACAAGAACAAGAACAAGAACAAGACCAAGACCAAGACCAAGACCAAGAACAAGAACAAGAGCAAGAACAAGAACAATAACAATAACAAGAACAAGAACCAGAACCAGAACCAGAACCAGAACAAGAACAAGAACAAGAACAATACCAAGACCAAGACCAAGACCAAGAACAAGACCAACACCAAGACCAAGAACAAGAACAAGAACAAGAACAAGTACAAGTACAAGAACAAGAACAAGAACAAGAACAGGAACAAGAACACGAACACGAACAATAACAATAACAATAACAAGAACAATAACAAGAACAAGAACAATAACAATAACAAGAACAAGAACAAGACCAAGACCAAGACCAAGACCAAGACCAAGCACAAGAACAAGAACAAGAACAAGAACAACAACAAGAACAAGTACAAGTACAAGAACAAGAACAAGAACACGAACACGAACAAGAACAAGAACACGAGCACGAACACGAACACGAACACGAACACGAACAAGAACAAGAACAAGAACAAGAACAAGAACAATAACAATAACAAGAACAAGAACAAGAACAAGAACAAGAACAAGAACAAGAACAAGAGCAACAGCAACAGCAACAGCAACAGCAACAGCAACAGCAACAGCAACAGCAACAGCAACAGCAACAGCAACAGCAACAGCAACAGCAACAGCAACAGCAACAGCAACAGCAACAGCAACAGCAACAGCAACAGCAACAGCAACAGCAACAGCAACAGCAACAGCAACAGCAACAGCAACAGCAACAGCAACAGCAACAGCAACAGCAACAGCAACAGCAACAGCAACAGCAACAGCAACAGCAACAGCAACAGCAACAGCAACAGCAACAGCAACAGCAACAGCAACAGCAACAGCAACAGCAACAGCAACAGCAACAGCAACAGCAACAGCAACAACAACAACAACAAAGCAAGATCACCAGCAGCAGCAGCAGCAGCAGCAGCAGCAGCAGCAGCAACACGAACAAGAACAGGAACAAGATCAACCACCACACCAAGAGCAAGATCAAGAACAATATCAAGAACAAGAACAATGACAAGAACAACAGCAATATCAATAACAACACCAAGAGCAAGAGCAGGAGCAATAGCAAGAACAAGGACAAGGCCAAGAACAAGAGAACAACAGAAAACAAGATCAATACGAAGAAGAAGAAAGAAATACATAAATACATAAAGAAAGAAAGAAAGGAAGGAAGGAAGGAAGGAAGGAAGGAAGGAAGGAAGGAAGGAAGGAAGGAAGAAGAAAGAAGAAAGAAGAAAGAATAGTAATAATAAGAAGAAGAACAGTAGTAGTAGTAGTAGTAGTAGTAGTAGTAGTAGTAGTAGTAGTAGTAGTAGTAGTAGTAGTAGTAGTAGTAGTAGTAGTAGTAGAAGCAACAACAACACCACCAAAGCCAACAAAACCAACCACACCACCAACAACAACGACAGCAACAGCAGCAGCAACAGCAACACGAATAACAAGGACCGGAAAGAGAACAAGAACAAGAGCGAGAACGAGAACAAGCACAAAAACAAGCATGAGAACGAGAACAAGGACAAGAACAAGCATGAGAAGAATCACAAGCGCAAGAACAGAGTGAGACGAAGAACAAGCACGAGAACAACAACAATAGCACGAACAAGAGTAGCAACACAGCACCAAAGTCACAAAAAACGATTAAGAAGACGAAGAAGAAGATGAAGAAGTAGAAGTAGAAGAATATGACAAAGAAGAACACCATAACTATACGACGAAGCAGAAAAAGAAAGGTAACGAACAAACAGAGAGAATAATAGGAGAGCGGACAAAAGAAGAATAACACAAAACATAATAGAAAGAAGACAACTCAGAAGAAGAAGAATAAGAATAAGAAGAAAAAGAAAGGGAAGAAGAAGAAGAGGAAGAAGAAGAAGAAGAAGGAAGAATAAGAAGGAAGAAGAATAAGAAGAAGAAGAAGAAAGAGAAGAAGAAGAAGAAGAAGAAGAAGAAGAAGAAGAAGAAGAAGAAGAAGAAGAAGAAGAAGAAGAAGAAGAAGAAGAAGAAGAAGACAAACACCACCAGCACCCCCACCAACAACAACAACAACGATCGCAACCGCAACAGCAAGAATAATAACAGCAACTGCGAAATTAATCACAACAACATCAGCAACAACCACATCCACAACTGCAACCACAACGGCAACCAGAACCGCAACCACAGCAATACCCGCAGCAACCACAACAACCACAGCAGCCACAGCCACACGCCCGACGGGCGAGGTCGCGGCGCTGTTCTACCCTGAGGAGTTCCCGGGGTTTGGAAACATGCCGGTGCAGGCGATTGCGATCGATCGCTCCCGATCGGCCCTGAAACGATTGGTCATTTGCATGTTTTTTGCTGCAACGCACTTGAAGTTCCCAAAAAGCTAGGGGGTCCAACACATATCACACATAGAAAACCGATCCGCAAACATGACAAAAGTCAGTTACATGGTTGTTCTTCAGGCGGCTGCTTGTGGAAGGCTTTTGTGGTTGCTTTTCTGGAAGTCTGAGGCCTTTGTGATTTGCCCATAAGTTCGGTCCAAATATCAAGTCTATGACCCATTGAGCAGCGTTTCTTTCAGATGCCTAGTCCGCGGACCGCGTAGCCTCCCGTGGCCTCCACAAAGCAACTGCTTCCAGCGTACAGGCCCTACATGAGAAAACACGGCTCAATTTGGCAGGGACACAGGCACTCGCTCATTGTCCCACAAGTTTGAGGGGTGTTTGGTCCGAGAATATGTTGATTGTGGCTCATTTGTTAGTGGCGGCTTGCTTTGATTCTGTGGGGCTTTCCTCATCGCAATGGGCTCCCTTTGCCCCCTGCCTGCTTTGCCTCTTTTCAAGGGGCCCCCTACTAGTTGTGTCATCGCTTGCCAAATGCTGTTTATCTCTGGTAAGGCTTTGACATTGCTTTGCTTGTTGATGTCTCACACTGAAAGGTTTCACTGGCAGCTGAAGAGTCAGCAAATGCTCCCTCAAAAGCAATGTAAGGTGTGCCAATCGTCTATTATGCTGTTTCAGATTGACAGCTTTAAGTCAGACGGTATTGGCGCAAGAAGCCAACCTTAAGAGACAGCTGTTCCACCAAGATAGGTGCCAACGAGTAGCAAGGAAGCGCTTGTGATGGCAGCAGAAGCAGTGTGTGCAGGTAGGCGACCTTGAGGGCTGGGTGCTTTTGGTCGGGACTTGACTGCTGGCTTTTCCGTACCTATTTTGTGACGCTCCCGCATCAAACAACCTACAGGTTGGCCACCCCCGTGGCTATAAATTTCAATGTTTGGAATGCCCGCAACTTGGTTGCCAATCAACATTCATATCATTCGGCGTGTGTTTTTGAAGGCACGCTTTTGGGGTTGGAAAGGGGAACTAAAGCACAATCACCCATTTCGGGTGGTTTCCTATTTTGACGGGTTCCCATATATATATATATATATGTAAATATATACATGTATATATATATATAGATGGACCATTCTTGGGGCTTCGACCTCCTTTGACTTCGCAAGACCGCTTCCGTGAGGTCTTCTTTGCGGCCTTCGGCGTGGCCAGCCTGTCCGGCGCCCAACTGGAAGCGAAAGGGGCAGAGTTTTGTGTGTGTGTGTGTGAGTGTGAGTGTGCGTGATTTTTTTTTGTTGGGGGGGGGGAAGTCCCTTGTTACTAAAAATATGGGCACGGCAGTGGTCAACATTGTTTTTAATCTCTTTTTTTTCCTCCTTTTTTCTCTTTTTTGTTTCTCCTCCTTTCTTGCTTGAGTTTTTTTTTCTGTTCCCCCAAAACGGTTCCGAATGTAGGGAAGGGTGATTTGATGATTCAATCATGTTCCAACCACCGAGCACCAGCAAGCCGTTTCGCTTCGGCTCGAGGCCCTTCCTTTGCCTGGGCATCCACGGTGTGGTCCGAAGAGACGAGGCAGGATGGGGGGGGGGGGTTGTTTAAAAGTCGGGCCAGGATCACTGAACACCCCTCGTAGATACATGAGGTGTCCTAGTTTCGAGGGCATTCTTCACCCCCTATTCCTCCGCAAGGTTTTCTGATTCGTCGGGGTCGACAGACAAGATCGAGGTCACCCTCTCTGCCTACTGCGTGTACCTGCTGCTCGCAGCCAGGAGCTTGGAGCGGATCTGAAAGTGGGCCCTCGGAAAGACATGCGTCCTGCAGACGGGCGTCCCCGAGGTCGGGGTTTGCGGCTACTGCTTGGTGCAGCTTGGGCTGTCGTTGACCTGCTCCAGGCGGGATAGCGCCTGGCTTTTCGGATAGGACTACCATCCTCAGCTCTCCCATTGGGGTTTGTCAAAACTGGGGACGCCTGCAGATTCTTGCACCTTGGTGCTCTTTAACCGTCCCCTGAAAGCCCATATGGAACCCCAACATTGGCTAGCTTCCGACAGGTTGCCTTTGAACGCTGTCCCAAAGGGTGTCTCTGATATCGGAAACACTTCGTTGTCGACCAACGATGCAAACTATTTTTCTTGTAAAGCAGTTGCTGGCAATGTGAGCTCGCGTTGAGCAGTACCATATCGCCGCTGTTTTTTGGGCGATTGAGCTGGTCGCCCTGGAAAGGCTCATGTCACGGTTGATTCATAGAGCCCCGTGTTGCATGAGCATTTGTTCGCTTCTGCCGAATTTGCCTTGCGAGTCTTCCTGGGGACGAGAAAGCGGTGGGGGCATACCTCTGCGGTGTCATTGAGGCGCAGCACTGCTCAGGTTGTCGATGCTGTCATTTTGAGCCATATCGCCAAGGGCAAGATCTGCTGACATTGGGCGATGCATCGCCGGAGGGCGGCCAAAGAATCCCAGGTGAAAGGTATCGGGGATTTCCATTTGACCTCAAGCTGCTCCTTTTGCCTGGATTGGTTTCTAGAAAAAGAAAAAGACCGACGCCCCGTTTTGGGAGAACCGGGGGGTGAGTGGACATCGCGCGCGCGCAGATCGTGGACATCGCCTTTGTCTCTGTTGCCCGGCAGCGCTGAGTCAACGTGACCGGTCTGAGAGGTTCTCAAACCAAGTCTTTAGGATATCACTTTGATTGGAGCCAGCTAGTGTAGGAGGCAGAGGGGGGGCGTGATTTTTGAGGGGTGAGGTGTACTGTTGGATTCGGGTTTTTGTGGGGTGTGTTTAGGGTTGGCCTCGGGTTTGTATAAGGTTTGTGTAGGGTAGGTTTAGGGTGAGTGTAGGGTTGCTCAGGGTTGACTTTCGGTTGGATTAGGGTTGGTTTTGCTTTGTTGCGGTTCTATTAAAGGGTAGGATTTGTGCTGGTCGAGGGTTGGTTTTGGATGGGCTTAGGGTGAGCTTAGGGTTGCTTTAGGGTGGTAGGGTAAGGCTGCCGAAAGCCACCAAAGCCACCAAAGCCACCAAAGCCACAGCCAAAGGGCCAGCCTCTCCGGCCAGCCCGGAGAAAAAGCGAGCGGCAACTCACGCCATGTAGCCCCATGGAAGGTGCTGCTTCTCAGTCTACTCTACACGTTGTACGTGGTGTGGTCCCAGTGTCAGGACCTGGGTCCTGATCCGTGCCGGTGACCCGTTTGCTTGAAATGGGAAACCAAAACCGAGACGCCACCCTGGGGGCCTGATGAGGGTCCCCGAATTTTTCGAGAAACACGGCGGGGTCACATGTTTCGATTTTTAAGAAGGGCAAGTGGCTTGCATGGAACTGGGCAAGTATGGCGATCTCAGAAAGGGCTTTGCTTCGTGAACTTGCTCATGATGAAGAACCTTGGGTAACCGGTGAATTCCGCTCTGCTCTCTTTTTCTTCGCAGCCTGAGCGATCGAGGATAGGGGACAGCCACTGTAAGATGCGGGGACCTCTCGTTTTTGAGACTCCTTCATTACCAAGCCTTGATGTGACGCACATGAAGAATCTCACGGCCGCTTCCCAGAGGACATTTCTCAACACCCTCTGGCCAAACGGACGAGCGGAACGGCGGAACAGGGCGCCAATAGATTTCCGCGCGGGCTTTACTTCGAATGCCATGTCCGAACCATGTGCGGTGACCCTGATTGCTTCCAGGCCATAGCGACGTTGTCACGGATTGCTTTATCTGGAAGTGCCAAACAGGAAAAAAGGGGCACTCAACACGACTTGACCTCCGTGCCTGCCTTGGGTCTTGCAGGACTTTGCGCTGGGCGGGCACAGGACCTTCTCCGACCTGGAGGCTCTGAGAGTCGAGCGAGGGGGCAGCTCTCTTGGTTTTCGGAGGTGTGGATGGTCAAAAACCCTTTGCTGGGATCTGCTTCAGAGAATTGGGCTGCTGACATCCTTTTTGGTTCGGCTGACTTCTGCTTGAGAGTCGCATCCTTTGATTGTGTTTCTTTCCGCAGTCCCCGCAGTCCCTGTTGCCTTTTTGTGGGACCATAAAGAGGCCACTTCTCAACAAAGCAAATGGCTCGCACTGTTCTCAGATTCCCTCATATAAGCAGAAGATTCACCTTACCGGCAGTATATGAGAGAAGTGCTCTTAGAGGCTGCTGCGTACAGTGAGATTGCATACTTCTGGCTAAAGCACACGAAGAAATGGGTCATGTTGTGATGGCTCCAGACCCCCTATGTATTCGCGTAAAGAACTCTGCTATATGTTTAAGTTGTAATTATTAATTCGTGTTTCGTTTTGCTCCATATTCTCTTCATGCTTTGTGAATGTATTTATTCATTCATTCATTCATTTATTCATTCATTCATTCATTCATTCATTCATTCATTCATTCATTCATTCATTCATTCATTCATTCATTGATTGATTCATTCATTCATTCATTCATTCATTCATTCATTCATTCATTCATTCATTCATTCATTCATTCATTCATTCATTCATTCATTCATTCATTCATTCATTCATTCATTCATTCATTCATTCATTCATTCATTCATTCATTCATTCATTCATTCATTCATTCATTCATTCATTCATTCATTCATTCATTCATTCATTCATTCATTCATTCATTCATTCATTCATTCATTATTTCTTTCTTTCTTTCTTTCTTTCTTTCTTTCTTTCTTTCTTTCTTTCTTTCTTTCTTTCTTTCTTTCTTTCTTTCTTTCTTTCTTTCTTTCTTTCTTTCTTTCTTTCTTTCTCTCTTCCTTCCTTCATTTCATTTCGTTTCGTTTCATTTCGTTTCGTTTCGTTTCGTTTCGTTTCGTTTCATTTCATTTCATTTCATTTCATTTATTTCATTCATTCCATTCATTCCATTCATTCCATTCATTCCATGCTTCCATGCATTCCATTCAGTCCATTCCATTCATTCATTCCATTCCATGCTTCCATGCATTCCATTCAGTCCATTCCATTCATTCATTCCATTCCATTCCATTCCGTTCCGTTCCACTCCACTCCATTCCATTCCATTCCATTCCATTCCAACCCATTCCAATCCATTCCATTCCATTCCATTGCATTGCATTGCATTCCACTCCACTCCATTCCATTCCATTCCAACCCATTCCAATCCATTCCATTCCAATCCATTGCATTGCATTGCATTCCATTCCATTCCATTCCAGTCCATTCCATTCCATTCCATTCCATTCCATTCCATTCCATTCCATTCCATTCATTCCATTCAGTGCATTCGTGCGATTCATTCCATGCTTCCATGAATTCCATTCAGTCCATGCCATTCATTCTGATATTCATTTATTCATTCCATTCCATTCCATTCCGTTCCATTCCATTCCATTCCATTGCATTCCACTCCATTCCATTCCATTCCACTCCACTCCACTCCACTCCATTCCATTCCATTCATTCCAATCCCTTGCATTCAGTCCATTCCATTCATTCATTCTTTCATTCATTTATTCATTCATTCATTCCATTCCATTCCATTCCATTCCTTTCCATTTCATTCCATTCCATTCCATTCCTTTCCTTTCCATTCCATTCGATTCAGTCCATTCATTCCATTCATTCCATTCATTCCATTCATTCCCTTCATTCCCTTCATTCCATGTATTCCATTCATTCAATTCCATTCAATTCGTTCCATTCCAGTCCCTTCGTTCCATTCATTCCATGCTTCCATGTTTTCCATTCAGTCCATTCCATTCATTCATTCCATTCCGTTCCGTTCCATTCCATTCCATTCCATTCGATTCGATTCAGTCCATTCATTCCATTCATTCCATTCATTCCATTCATTCCATTCATTCCCTTCATTCCATTTATTCCATTCATTCCATTCATTCCATTCATTCCATTCATTCCATGCATTCCATTCAGTCCATTCAGTCCATTCCATTCATTCATTCGATTCCATTTCATTCCATTCCATTGCACTCCATTCCATTCCATTCCATTCCAACCCATTCCAATCCATTCGATTCCATTCCAATCCATTCCATTCCATTCCATTCCCTTCCATTTCATTCATTCCATTCATTCCTTTTATTTCATGCATTTCATGCATTCCATTCATTTCATTCCATTCCATTCATTTCATTCCATGCCATTCATTTCATTCACTTCATTCATTTTATTCATGTCATTCATTTCATTTCATGCATTTTATTCATTTTATTGACTTAATTTATTGATTCATTTCATTCGTTCCATTCATTTCATTCCATTCCATTCATTTCATTCCATTCCATTCATTTCATTCCATTCCATTCATTTCATTCCCTTCCATTCATTCTATTCATTCCATTCACTTCATTTGTTTCATTCATTTCATTAATGTCATTCATTTCATTTACTGCATTATTTCCATTCTTTTGATTCATTTCCTTCACTTCATTCATTTCATTCATTTCATTCATGTCGTTCATTCCATTCATTGCATTCATTTCATTCATTTCATTCATTTCATTCATTCCATTCACTCCATTCATTCCATTCATTCTCTGCATTCCATTCATTCCATTCATTCCATGCATTCCATTCATTCCATGCATTCCATGCGTTCCATGCATTCCATGCATTCCATGCATTCCATGCATTCCATTCATTCCATTCATTCCATTCCATTCATTCCATTCATTCCATTCATTCCATTCAGTCCATTGCATTCATTCATTGTTTCATTCTTTCATTCATTTATGTGGTCGTTTGTTCGTTCGTTCGTTCGTTCGTTCGTGCGTTTCAACTTGTTATTTGACTTGTTGGCTCGTTCAAGCACGCATTCATTTGTTTTTTTTTGTCCATTGGTTTATGGTTTCCTGGATTCATTGATTCGTTGATTGATTTCCATTCTTCTCGGCCGCCACATGCTGAATGTGAGTGTTTCCAAATGAACGGACGCCAAAGACGGGTGGTTTTCTTTGGTTCCTCCTCAAAACCATCCAGCAAAAGAGAGTCCTCTTTGTTGGGACGTATCTGTGATTGGTTTCTGCTTGGACCAGCTTTCAAGGCCTCATGGGTTGCCAACTCAGGAGTGCTACGGCAGCTTGGAATCGAAGCGATTGATGGAGGCCTGGGTGTGTTTGTTTCCTTGTTTGTTTGTTTGTTTGTTTGTTTGTGTTACTCTGCTGCACACCCAAAAATGGGGTTCCCCAAAGGAGGATGCCACTACTTTGGCTTTTACAAATCCATGTATATGTGCAGGAGGGTATGGCCACAAGTGTGATGGACATTCGTTGAAAGCATGGCGGCATGGAAACCTAAAGAGCCACCTTTTGGAGCAATGGAAGCTGACCGAGCTTTCCAGGATCCGGAGGACAAACCACCCAGAGGCCCCTAGTGGCAGCTAAGTCGTGCGGCTTTTCGCGTCGGACAGTCCTCGCACAACATCCTCCAGTCCTTCGAGGACGAGCCGCAGCCCCGGGGTGGCGTCTTCTGACGCGGGCCGGCGGCAGAGGCAGAGGCGTACCATTTCCATCGCAAGAGCGGGAACAACGAAGCAGGGCATCGGAAGGCCCTTTCGGGTCCACAAAGGGCCCATAATCTCTGACTTCACTGACTTCCCACCACAAGGGCGCCAAGCAGGGCCAGATTTGTTTTGACACACAGAGTTTGTTTGCACTGTTTTGGCTGCAGTTTTTGTGATCTGTAAGTGCGCAAGATTTGGGTATATCCTAAGATGGGACATGTATCACCAAAAGCAGGTTGGCGACTTTCTTTCGCTTTGCTTTTGACAATCGACGACATGAGGGTCTCTTCGTTTAGGCAACACCCATGTGGCCATGTGCCGAGATTGGGAATATGCTGTATTGGGTGTCTCTTGCCCAAAGGAGTGCCGCTTGTTCACGGGCCGAATGGAGCCATGGTGGGACTCCTGGTGTGACCAGATCCTAAGGTCGCAAACCACGAGTGCGAAGCTTTGGATCCATTTGCCCTGTTTGGTTCCGAACGTGGTGAGCCTGTAAGAATCCAAAGGAAAAAATATCGAAGCAACAAGGGGATTCTTGGGTTCTGTTTGTAGCGTCTCTCCCTGCCTCACTTCTGAGTCGCTTGGCCGAGGGGCCTGGGCGCCATGTTCGGGAGCGGCCCAAGCGGCCCGGTGTCGGGCTTCGGCCGGGGGCTCGGCGGCTCCGCTCGGTTTGGGGAAATCGGGGCGAAAGCGGCAAACATGCCATCCAATCGGGTCAAAACGTAAGTATTTCGGGAGCAAAACGAAACATGGGGGAGGCCAGCTGTGGGTAAAATTCACGGATTTCTACATGTTTCTCCGATTTTACTATAATCTGAGGCCAGCGAAGGCACTGTGCAAAAGCAGTTTCAAGTTTCAACTCTGCTTCGGACTACACACCGTGTGCGAAAGCCTGATTGACTGCTTCTACTGACTGAGCCCCTTGTTTGGCAGAGAAATCGTGAACCATCAAGGTTCAAGGTGAGTCGTTTGGCAGTACACAGCCACTGCAGTGTCGCCATTGCAGGTGTTTCAGAAACCATGTTTCCTCGACGTGTTTCCTCTGTTTTTGGTTGTCCGCGTCAGGATGGTGGACTTTGGTCGTTGGCCCACAAAGGCTGGCAATTGAATGCTAGGCATTTTGTGCTCAGAATTGCTGAGACTCAGATGATGTTTCTTTTGAGGTTTTCAAGTGCGCGAGGGTGTATCACGGCCGCATTGCCACTGCACTGCTTTGCTCCTTTTGGCTCCCCAAGCCTTTGTGGGCATTGGCGAGTTTGCGCCCAGAAAGGCCGAAGTTATCGCCCTGCCCTAAGGAAAGAGCTCCAAGCTCTTTGGATACAAGCATGCCGGGGCCTGAGCGGGCGAGCACCCACCCGGACGCACGTTTGAGATCGGACGCAGCAAGCATGCAGAGGCCAAACTTGAGCTTAAAGAGGACAAACAAACCGGGACTTTGGACGAGGGATCTTGTGACTGAAAACGAGCGTCAGCAGCCGCAAAGCCAAGCCACCAGTCAAACATGGGCATTCAAAGCTCGACCACCATGCAGGCCGAGGCAATATTTTCGGTGGCTTTTCAGGCCGCCGAGCCAAGGAATTTGCCAAACGACCCGCGCATTTGCCAACTCGCAGCAAGTCTCGGAGTCCGAAGCAAGCGGCTCGAGCTCAGGAGCTCCGCTTCCCGCCGCCGAGCTGAGTGGCTTGGGCCACATCTGACCCGTCCGAAACGACACGGGCCGTGCCAGTCAGGCCCCGGATTCCTCGTGTCGGGGACACATGTTGGGACAAAGGGTCCCAACAGCTGGGAGATGGACTCTGTCGCCCCTAAAAGGGGGGCAACACGCGGTGACGCGCTGGGCAAAAAGCATTCTGCGCGCCTGAAGGTGAAGGCGGGGAGTTGTTCTGGGTGTTGTGTTTTGGAGGGTACCTTTTTGGATCTTAAAGGAACACCGAGAGGAAACCACCAATGTAGGAGGTTCCCATATTCTGAGACCCACGATGTCATCCTTGTTGCTCAGGGAAGAATTCCTCCCGAGATGTTCTTGGGAAGGAGGAAGTGCAGCCTTTTCGACGGTTGCGCCTTGGTCACAGCTGGGCAGGCCCGAGACTGCATGTGACGGTCTCCCCCGGTGCCCCTTGCGACATTTGCAAAGTCCGAGTGCAACTGCCAGGCTTACAGAGGGCCAAAGAGCGCGCGCACATATACACACACACATACACTGTTACGCACATGTCACTGAGTTGCACTTGAGCCTCAGCATCTTCCGATGCCACCAGCCTGACCTGAGTTCTGAATACTTAGCACTTGGTTGGTCTTTGGCATATGCTTTATCTTTCCTTTTATCGGAACTTGCTGTTTCTCCACGAAGCAGCAAACTTAAATTGTTGAAGGGGTCCAAAGACCAACCCGGTGCACTTGCTCAATTGTTCTTTTCCGCAGACATGGAAAGCTTGCCGCGCTTGCCCTGGGACTTCTCCTCCATTGTTCGCAGCCCAGCTGCATTGAACTTCTACTTGGGTTGTGCTCAGTCAGCTATAGGTTTGCTTGATTCTGTATTCGAAGCAGACGGTTTAAGGGGTCCTCCAGTTTGAAACAAACCCTGTGCAAATTTGTTTTTTCATATCGTGCGCGCGCGTGTCTGTGTTCGCGCTCAGGAGGCTGGTACGATGACTCGGCCTCTCGGCATTCTTGCAGGCCAATGCCATCAGTGCTTTAGAACGAGCCCTTTTTGGCCGGGCGGGGCCGCTCTTGGATGTGCTTTTTCAAGGGGAGCCAAAAGCACACCATGTCAGGGGTGCTCTCTTTCGGGAATCGCTTTGCTGTGAAAGCTGAGGCGAAGGGGAATTGAACTGCTCCTTGCAAGGTCAGATGGAAGATGACCCTCTGGATTTGTCTCCACAATGGCTGTTTTCCCTTTAACAACCAGTCAAAGTGCACCCAGAAAAGCCGCAACCCGACGCCTTTTGTCTGAGGCGCCACTTCAGCTCTGCGTGGTGGGCGTGGGCCCAGTGGCCCTGTCGGAGGCAGGATTTGGTGTCGGGAGTTCTGGTGGGAAATGGGTCCGTGTTTGTTGGGTTTCCTTTTCCAAACTTTTCCACCTTGAGGGAAGCCAAAGAACAACTTGCTTCTTCTTCTTCTTCTCAGGGGTCCCCTATCCTGGCACAGACCTATATAAATGGATGTGGTTTCCTTTTCAATGCTACCTGAACAAAGAAGGGAGCGCTCCAGCAATTCGAAACCAAATGGAAACTCAAATCAACATTTCAAAAGGAAGCTCCAGCAACCCTAAACCAAATGGAAAGGGTCAGGGTCCTACCAATTCTGAACCAATTGACTTGGGTTGCCCATGCCACTGGACTCAGACTGACGCAAGTCTCGCTGCCAGGCCCTCTCAGGGGTGTCCCTGCTGCAAGCCATGCCCAGGGTCGATCCTGTGGACATAGGCGCGAGCTAGCTGTGGCTGGCACGGGTGTGGGGGTGGACTTGAAGGGGCTTCTTGGTGTTTGAAGGGCAAATAATACCAAAAGTCCATTTAAGGTGTCCGATTCCTATTTTGCGGACGTTCCGGAGTAGTTGATTTCATGCGAGTATGAATCAGCAGGATGTCTCTTAGAGTTCTGCCAAAGATTTGTATCCTGGGCACAATGACCTAGATTTTAAACAAATGGAGCCGTTGCTTACATGTCCGCACGGGGCTGGATTCCACTCCAGCACCCAGCTAGGGCCGCGATGGCTCTGCATTTTTGACAAGATGCACATGACTCGCAGCTTCCAGGTGCCAGCCTGCTTTGGGACGCGAAGGCCAGACGAGGGCGCTGGCATGACTGGAGATTTGTTGGGGCAAGCGAGGTGTATTGGACCCGCCCCTAGTATCAAACCTGATACGGGGCGGCCTTGGGCCCCTTGATTTGATGACAGTATACAAACAGATGCAAAGACTTCACACAGAGGCTGCCGGATCAGGCGAGCCTCCAAGCGGTCGAGTCGCCTCTCGAGGTCGCAGCTGGCTTAATGTTGACCCCGGATGAGTCAACGCGAACTTTGATCAACCAGGGTTTATAAATCCGGGTTCCCATTCGAGCCAGCGGCTCAGCGGCCCGCTCAGGCAAGGCCGAAGCCGCTTTCCCTGCTAGCGGAGAGGACTGGGGCTGAGCCGAGCTAAGCTGTGGGCAAAGCTGAGCTTGATTTCAGGATCGAGCCGTCTGTGAAGAGGAGGACGGCCGAGACACTAGTCAGTGTTGAGCATGGCTGTCAAAAACAGAGGCCCTTTGTGGTGGTCGCTTTGATGTCAACTCCCATGACATTGTGAGGCTGAAAGCCGTAGGTAGAAGCAGTAGAAGGTTTCAATTCAGGAGCGCGCCTTTCAAAGGGCCAAATTTGCCTTGTGCTAGATTCTTTCAAGATCCAAAGCCGCCAGGAAAATGCGAGCTCCAAGTGAGTTGACAGCTCCGGAGGTGTGCGCTTCTCCTGCAGATGTTTTTGGTTTGGCAACCGGCGCAGGTGCAGGTTCCCAGGGATCCTGGACCACCCGCTAAGCGCCGGCGGCTAGGCGCCCAGAGGCGCGGTCGCGCCTGGCATTTTGCCTCGAGCCAAGTCCAGTGCCTGTCGGATCCAAGTGGGGCAAAGTAGGTGGCAGCGCATCAGGATCAAGCAGACATGCGCTGTAATCCGACAGGCAAGAAGGAAAGACTGTAAACAAACTTGGTCTTCGCAGCGGGTGCCTTATTGGCAATCTGAACCGCAAGCTTACTGCTGTAAAGCTCAGATGTGCACATGGCATGGGAGGATAAGGGAGCATGGCCTTGCGCCTGCGCAAACACGTTCTTGACTCTCACATGTGCATGTGCATTCGCATGCAGACACGGGTGGGGCCACAGACACGTTGCATCAGATGATGATGCTGCAAATGCCACAGATGCCCGTGTCAAATGCCTCTCAGCTGGCACAGCCGCCATCGTGTCGCCATCGCCATGGGCTGCTTCGTGGACGCCGCACAGCCCGGGCAGCCCGGGCAGCCGGGCAGCCCGGGCAGCCAGGGGCAGCCAGACCGAGCAGCCGAGCAGCCGAGCAGCCGAGCTGCTGGTCCAGCAACGCAGCTGCCCAGCCGGGAGGTAGGGCAGCCAAGAGTTTAGTTGGCTGGCACCTACTTTAGGTGCCAGCCAACAGCTGTCTGGCTGCCCTACCTCGGCGACGGCCCAGCTGCGTTGCTGGGCCAGCAGCTCTGCTGCTCGGCTGCGCGGCTGCTCGAGTCGGCTGCCACAAGCTGTCAGGGCCTGGTTGTCAGGTCTGTTGCCTCACACGCTGCGCCGTGGCGGCGTTTTGGCTTTTGTTGAGCTCGGCTGAGCCTCTTGGCCATGTCGCTCCGCGGCGTGGAGCGCTCCGCTGCTCTCTGCGCGCTGTGGCGAGCCAAGGCGGGGAGCTTCAAAAAAGCGAGGCATCCAGAGCTTCTGTCTCGTGAGTGAGTTGTTGAAGGGCGTTTTGAGCATTCTTGCCGCGTGTCTGCCTTTGCCCGCACAGAGCGGCTGGCTTCAACGCGTGGCGTGAGCCTGCAATGTAGAACTGTGCAGCGCTTAGGTTGTCAGATCGCACGCGGGAACTTCTGCGTGGTTTTGCTGAGGCCTGGACCGGAATGGTGTAACCCCCCGCCATATCGCGCGTGATCGCAGCGACCGCGCAAAGTTTCCTTGCTCAAGCTCACGCGCAAAGTTCACGCACTCCCGCGCTTGCTTAGCTCAAGCCGCCGCGACGATAAGCGTCAAGAGCTACGAGGGCTTAGCCAACGCAACGTCAGTTGGAACTCAGAAAGACTCTCGTTGTTTTGCAAGTTTGTTTGTTTCTTTGTTCGGCTTCGATAGCTTGGTGCCGCAGAAACGACATTTCCGTTGTTGTCCTGGGAGCCGTAGCTCGTCTAGCGTCCCTGTTTTCGTGGTGGCGCCGACCTTGATCCAGAGTTTCTGTGTGATGTATATAGAACTGAACATGTGCGCAAATATACACCTATTTACATATTTGTTTATGTGTGCGTGCGTGTGCGTGTGCGCGTGTGCGTGTGTGCGTGAGCGCGTGTGCGCGTGTGGGCATGCGTGCGTGCGTGCGTGCGTGCGTGCGTGCGTGCGTGCGTGCGTGCGTGCGTGCGTGCGTGCGTGCGTGCGTGCGTGCGTGGGTGGGTGTGTGTGTGTGTGTGTGTGTGTGTGTGTGTGTGTCTGTGGGTGCGTGCGTGCGTGCGTGCCTGCGTGTGAGTGTGCGTGTGCGTGTGCGTCTGCGTGTGCGTGTGCGTGTGCGTGGGTGGGTGCGTGCGTGCGTGCGTGCGTGTGTGCGTGCGTGCGTGCGTACGTGAGTATGTGTGTGTGTGTGTGTGTGTCTGTGTGTGTCTGTGCGTGTGCGTGTTTGCGTGTTTGTGTGTTTGTGTGTTTGTGTGAGCGTGTGTGTGTGTGTGTGTGTGTGCGTGTATGCATTTGTGAAAATTGGAAAGCCGTGCCGTAGTGTTGCTCCGAGAAGCTACCTAAACTCGGAACAAAAGCCATCACGCTTGCGAATGTTTCCTCTACTTCGAGGAACGTAATGCTCGTTGTGCAAACTGTGTGAAAACATGTAAGCCACATCACGGCTCCCAGACCGCGCTCCAGTGCGCAGGAGTCGGCGTCTGCTTCTCCTTTGATATCAGACCCACGTGCTGGAGAGGTGGCTGAGGCTGTCATAGGTTGGGTTGCAAGAAATCGCCAGTGTCTTGGAAGGCGGCATTGGGTGCACACGCAGCAGCCAACCTTGCCGCTGCAACTTTTGCTCCCAGCCGGAGTCTTATTTTGTGTTGGCAGGATTGCAAAAACGGTTGCTTGCTTGGCCGCAGCTGCAAACTTGATGCAGGTTAGTTTGTTCGCTATCGTAAGGCTTGCAATATCTCGTATCGCTGCGGACACGTTTGGTGGATGACGCGCTGAAACTATTTGCTGCACAATTTCAGCCAGCGCAGGCGTGCTCTTAGGGCTAAATCTTGCCTGTTTGTCAGACTACGTCCTTGCTCTTACGCGTTGCGTAGGTGGTGCAGCTCGCCGTCGGGTGTGACACCCGTGCAGCGCGCTTGGAACTTCCTGGGGTGCGTTTCTTCGAGGCGAGCGCTGGTGCATTAGAGGGAAGGTCAATGACTTGGCGTGTCATTTCGCGGCGCCTGCGTCGCACTTCACAGGGCGGGGCTCGGGCCAGGTGGACACCCGCCGGGTTGCTGAATTCCGCGAAAGGCGGGGCATGCAGGGCCTGCTGGGTGCCGAGAGTGTCAGGGTGGGGCGGGGTTCAGCTTGTTCAGTGTTCAGTTTCACATTAGGTTAGCTTTTAGCTCCTGCCGCCCAGGAAGCCAACAGAGAGACAGCGGGCTCAGGTCCAGATTGGCACCCAATTGTGTTGCTTTCCCCGCGGTGCACCGAGCCTCCGTTCTTTGTTGTTCTTTGCCAACCAGAGCACGCAATTTGTTTGGCCACTAAAGCTGGCACCATGCACGTGCGACAGGTGGATGCCACCTGCCGCAGTGCAACTGGGCGTGGACCTGGCCAAGCCGGAGCATCTATCTCCCACGCTGGACGGGGTGATGCGGGCAAATGGGACTTGAGACGCTGCCACGATATCTTGGGCACTCGAGCGTTGCGTGGCAAAGCCGATGTTGTCACGCCACCATTTGTGTAACATGAGTTTCGGATTAATCCGGAGGGCAGTAATCCGAGGCATCACCCTATGCGAATCAGAACTTCTGAAGTGTCAGATGAAAACAACAACGGGAAACAAAGTGGGGCTTCAGCTGCGCTGCGGAAAAAAAAAAAGAAACCATCATGTTTTTGTTTGGGGTACGAGAAAGGCCCCCTTTGCAGTGGTTTCCCGACAGGCATGATGCCCGCCTCGATTTGAGTAAAGCTTGCCAAGTCCAACACGAGCATCAGAAGCCAGCAACAATTCACATTGATATGTTAAATCGGAGATGCAAGAACAGGTGCCCAAACGTAAAGGAGGCGGTTTTCAAGTTGTGGATCGAGATAGTTCCCTTGACGGGGACATCTGCGCTACGGAAGTCGCACTCCCTTGTCTTGTTTGCAAAAAAAACATGCTCTGATGAACAAGCTTTAATTTGGGGGTCCTTTTTTTGTGGGTGTCTTTTTTGGCGACTGTTTGAGCTGCCTTCTACAGTGGCTGAAAAAAATAAAGAAAGTGTGACTGGCGATCCATTCGCAGGTTGGCGCGGGCTTTGACGTGCACTGCCCGACGGCCTGGATCTGCGAGGCAGGATGCATGTGTTTAGATCAGTTTGGTTGAGGATCGTTTGGCTTTGCAGGTTTCTCGGTTTGGACCGTTTGTGAAAAAAATCGCCTACTTTTTCAAAACGACAAGGTTGGGAAGCCCCTTGACTTGAGGGCGGGCCAAAATGAACGCACAAGACCGGGCGCGCCCATGGCAAGCATTATTAGTGGGCGCTGTCTTGCACCTCAACTGCCGCAGGGCCTCCTGGAGTACCACGACCCTTGCTTCGGCGAGCGGCTGTTCGCGGCGCTGCCGCAGGGCGCGGAGCAACAGCTCCACAGCTGCAGTGAGAGACTTCGAACCCTTGGGTCAGAACCCCTGGGGTTCGACCTGGCGAATTGGAATGGCCGAAATGTTCCATTGTGATCGCGCGAAATCAAATGCCGCCACTTGCTTTTTGCAGCTGTGTTGAGTTCATGGTTGCAGTGTTGGTTCTCCTAGGGCTTTTGGCCAAATTCAGCTGAGCCTGTGAGGCTAGTGTTGACTGTGCTGGATATCAACTGGTTGCGCTTCCTGGAGAAGGACGGGGCTTCCGGGAATGGTTCTTGGGGCTTGCTTTTGGCCGTGCCAAAGCCAGCACGTATTTCAACCACTTCAACCAGATACAACTTGTGCAACTCAGGCCATGCGCCTGTCCATCGTTGGATCGTCGTCCACGGCTAGCGGCTAGCGCGGCTGGATAGACCCGCTTCAGGAGCATGCCCAGAAGCCAGTGCGGATGGCATGGAGGCGCGCTCCGATCAGAGTGAGGTGGAACCTCTTAGGCAATAAGGGGGGCTCGAGCTCCCAAAAGGCTTGCGCTCAAATTCAGTGTTCGCATATTGTGGGTCGTCTCCCCCGGTTCACTTCGCCTGATGAGTTCCCTTCATTTCTAACTTCCTTAAGGTGCATTGAATATCGCAAAGGCATTCCGTGGCTCAGCGACAGCTGCAAAGCAGCTGCGACAGTTGCGACAGCTGCTGTCGCTACGGCGACTGCCCGGATGTCTTTCATTTCACAGCCCACAACATCCACATTTCCGGCAAATGCATTTTGGGGGCGCATCCCGAGGTCCAGTTTGGCCGTTGAGGATCTCGGTTGATAGGTAGATTCTGGTTTTCCTTCAACGAGAGGCCCAGCCGGCTGCCGGCGCTGGCCTGGCACCGGGCGCTGCTGAAGCGCCAGGGGTGGCGATTGCAGCAAGCCCTCAGCGAGCTGAGGCGGGGGTGGGTCCCTGGAGCCATCAACCCCGGGTACGAACCACCTCAAAAGTGCTTGGTGGACATGACCCCCGCACCTAAATGATCCAGGTATGGTAGGGATCAGTCTCAGCCATAAAAATGGTGATGCTGCATAATCTAGGCCTTGATTCTGACTCCCCAAAGCCTGGCAATTACCCGTGACGAGGCTTGTCCATAGATAGTAACCTCGTGTCTTACTGGACATGATATTGAGATGGGCGAGCGGATCTCGGGTGACGCTTGTGTTTCATGTGCCCTCGTTGAATACAGTCCTGTGCTGCCTGCTTTCCCTATCATATCAGGATACGGCATGAACCCTTTAGGATGTTGGAGGAAGAGGCTTTCGGGCTTTTGACAAGCTCGATGGTGGCAAGGAGAGGATTTGTTCAGAAGGCATCAGAACAGGGTTGCGATTTTGCTGGTGCTCGAATGTCTACAAGCATTCAAATGTTTGTAGAGCCCGAGCTCTTTGTAGAGCCCCCCCCCCAACACTCCCCCCCCCAAATAAAAAATAAGTCAATGGCCCGGTTTATCAAGTTTTAGGAAATACCATAGACCATGAATAAGCCTTATATAAGGGTATATTTGAAGGGTGACCTTTGGCCTCTAAATAAGGCTTGTTCATGTTTTTTTCCTTCTTTTTCTTTATCCATTTTTTTCCGGGTGTTTAAGATCAAGCCTTATTTAGATATTATTTGCCTCGATCAAGCTTTGTCAGGGGTTCTTGGGCAATTTTGCTTGGAGTGTTCAAACAAGCTTTATTTAGATGTTATCTTGCCTGATGAAACTGAGTCTTAGGTTTAGCCATGATTCAATGATTTGGACCAAGGGTTTTGTAGCTTGCCAGCCAGGTCACATCCATCCTTGTGACGTCAGTGTGGCTCAGGACTTAAGGTCTAGGCAACCCTAGTCAGCTTCAAGAATAGATTTCTCAGCTAGCGTCAATTGGCGTATGCCTTTTGCACGCTTCAATGGTGATTTTACACTCACCCATTCCTGTAAAAGGTTAAAGTTTTGGGCAGGGGTAATAACCATTCGCCTAAGTAGCCATCAAAGACATGTAGCAAATGCTGCTTCAGCAATGGCAATGGAAAGTACTGATGCCGATGCAGGAGAAATTGCCACAAGGTTCCCGCGATTGAGAAAGGTACACGGCCCGACAGTCAAAACAAGAATTTTGTTGCAATGATGCTGCAATTTGGTGCCAAGTGCCAAGTGCGGACGTGCGGAAGGAAAAGCCTCGAATAAGCCCCGATTAGGATTTGGCTGCAAATGCTGTAATTTGGCCTCCAAAAAAAAAGGTGCTGCATATATGCTGCACTTTGGCCCCAAGTACAAACGTGTGCAAAAAAATATGCCTCGATGAAGCCTTGACTAAGCCCCAAATAAGGATTTTGCTGCCTCTGTACTGCAATTTGGCCAGGGTAACTTCTGGAAAAGACAAGCCTCGAATAAGCCACAAATAAGGATTTTGCCGCCTATGTACTGCAATTTGGCCAGGGTACATATTGGAAAATAGCCTCGAACAAGCCCCGAAAAAGGATTTTGCTGCAAGAATGCTGCAATTTGGCACCGACGTTTGAACATAAGCATTAAATTAGCCCCAGACAAGGACTTCTCTGCAGGTATGCTGCTCCCAGTGCAGCAGTGTGCAAGCAAAATGAGCTTCAACTGGTCTCACAAATAAGGAGCTTGCTGCAAAAGATGCAGAACTTTAGCGCGTGTTGAGGCACATTCGAGGCTTACCATTTCTTTCTGTTCGGAAATTGCCTGTAACTTATTTTTTGGGGCTCCAGTGTTCTGCGCGCAGCCTTCAAGTGCTACCTGAAGGTTGTGCAAACACGTTGAACAGGTTGACTGCCAAAAGCAGCGTACTGCCCAGACAGCCCGCTACATTGTCCTGTCAGCTTGATGCACACCAGCCTCAGTGACAAATCCTTATTCGTTGCTGATTTTTGCTTGGCAGTCAGCGCGCCATGGATTCTTGTCCGAAAACCCCCTTAGCCTTTTTTTCTCATTTTTTTTTTGGGGGGGGGGCAGAGTATTGGGCGGGGGACAGACTTAGGAAATCAGGATATGGCCGCTTCCTGCCATGGCCAGGCCTGCTGCGCCGCAAGCGGCTGCGCCCGAAGCGGACAGCCTTTTCCATCTGCTGGTGGCCTCAAGAGGAGAAAAGGAGGAGATGCGCGCTGCGGGATGGGCCCTGCCCGAGAAAGGGTTTGGCTCGACGTTTTTGTTTCCGTCTCGCCAGGGGCCGCTGGGATGGCTTCCTCGGTGGCCGCGAAGGCCAGGGTCGCCTTGGCCGCCTGGGCCAGCCTGGCCGCAGCGATGCCGCGCTTTTGCCGGCAAAGCGTGGGCGTTGGAGGTTGAAACAGGGCCCAGGTTCTGAGGAATGCCGATCGGGGAATCCTCACTTTGGCCGCCTGTATGCTCCGAACGGCTTTGAGCCATGGGAGCCGTGTCCTGGGAGCCCTGGCGATGTATAGGCTGCGCGCTTCAGAGGCAGTTTTCTATTGCAGCAGCGCGGATCGCCGGAGTTCGCGTGCCAGCGATGCCATTGAGCTTCCGAAGTTTTGAGTTTCAGAGCCGCGGTGGGTTGTGCCAGTTGCGTTGCAACCGGGCAAGTGGGAGCCTGACTCACTTTGGACAGTCCGCAGCTAGACTCCAAGAGCCACAATGGACAGGCGATGGTCTGGGCCCTGGGCTCGCGAGTTTTGAAGGGGCTGGGCTTTTTGTTGTGGCAATACATGTTTGGCCACGTGAAGGAAAGCTGTGATGGATTCCAAGTTAGCCCAACCCCACAGACCAAGAGAGAAGCCCAAAGCCCGGCTGAAAGTTGCCCGTTGCCTGCTGCGCGGTCGGCGCTTGCCCCTGCAATTGGCATTGTGGAGATGGAGCAAGGGCAAGTTTCGGCAAAACCTTGAGGAAATTGGGGTGAGCTCTTGGGCCCAAAGCTTTCTATCCGAACAATGGCAGATGCCCGCAGCTTCCAACAAAAGCAAAGATCTCCCTAAAAGAGTTGGTATCTTTTAGGCCAGTATCCTCAGTTGTTGTGAAGTCGCACTGCAATGGCTGATCCAAGCAAAACAGACACCAGCCCCCCACCAACCAAGTGCAAACCCACCAACCCCACCAAAGTCACCATAGCCACCACAGCCATCAACCAACACCAAAGCCAACACCAACACCAACACCAACACCAAAACCATCCAACCCCACCCAAAACCACTCACAGACACCAAAACCACCCACAGACACCAAACCCACCAAACCCACCAAACCCACCAAACCCACCAAACCCACCAAACCCACCAAACCCACCAAACCCACCAAACCCACCAAACCCACCAAACCCGCCAAACCCGCCAAACCCGCCAAACCCACCGACTTCCTCGAACGCGCCATGGACGTGGACGACGGTTTGGCGGAGCTTCTGCTGCGGCCCCTGGCGGCGCCGGCGCTTCTGGCGCTGCGCGGCGCCAGCCGCCACTGGCGGTGCCACGTGGCGGCGGCCACGGCGTGGGGCCACCTCTTCCGGCGCCGCTTCGGGAGGAGCGGAGGGCGTGGATCGGAGTCCGGGGACTCCCAGCAGTTCGCGGGGCTTGGGGCCTTTTGACCCCGTTGGGTGTTGGGGGCCATGGTTCTGCAAAGTGGTCTCGGGAATTTCCCAGCTTGGTATTGCAGAAGTGGGCGTTATCTCCCACAATGAAGGGGCCCGGCCATTTTTGCAGAACACCGAGCCCTCGAAAACACCAAGAGCACGTAAAGAAAAGGACACCAAAGGGAGAATCAATCAATTTGGAGTCTCCTGTTTTCTTTTGAACACCAGGGGCACAGGGGCGCTTTGGGGACACGCCCATCTGCTCAAGTGCAAGAGCTGACTTGCACTGATACAGCAACTCTTCGTAGGGCCTGTGAGAAGAACCAGCCTTGAGCATGTGATTGGCCATAGTCCGCAAGGATTTGCGGTGATCACAAGTCCAGGAGCACGTCACATCCCACAAGCCTCTATGAGCTTCCTACTTCAACAGCCTACAATTTTTGTGGGTTCCTCGTGAATCCCCTTTTGAATATGGGGGTTTGGCATCCCTAACTCAAGTTATTCCCAACCCTCAGCATGAACGATGTTTGGAGTAGCAGTTCTTTTTGTTGTTGTTGGAGGTCAGGGGGTGCCAACCCTTCCGATGCTCTATCCATGGTGTGAACGACGCCACCTAAATCCAACCGCGAAAGTTGGACCACATCCAAATGGTTTGAATTCATGTCCCCACCGAAAAGGGCGGGTTTTTCCGGGAGTTCCGCGCCATGCTCCGCCCAGGGCGCCGGATGGGGAGCTGTCGTGGCTGCAGAACTGGGCGGCCGCGCGGCGCTACGAGCGGGAGACCTTCGAGGGATGGGACCAGGGGGCCCTGAAGCCGGAGACGGCCGGACGGGTTGGGACCAGGGAGCGTGGCTTTGGAGCGTGGCTTTGGAGGGGAAGGGGGCCAGCGGGGACCGGGGGCCAAGGCGGGGGGAAGGGGAAGGGGGCAAGGGGTAGTGTGGTGGAGAGTGGTGTCACTTTGGTAGTGGCTAAAAAAAAATGAAACCCATGAAAGTGACTATGTAGTCCTGGGGCGGGGAATCCCACTTTCGTGCAGGCAAATCTTCGCCTTTTTGTGGAGAAAGAGGGGGGGGTCCCTGGGCGATTCCGGGTCCAGGATGGGAGACATGACCACCTCCACTTATTGGATTGTTCTGGACGATTCGGGCGCTGGTCTGAAACTGAAGTGCACCAGACTGCATAATGCTGCCACTGGATGACTAGCTGCTAAAACCAGCTTTCTTTTTTAGCGTGACTAGCCCAGCTCAGATAGTTGCTTCACCTTGAGCAGTCCCATAATATCACCCGATGGTTCCAGTTTTGATCAACCTGCGCCTTTGATGTTTTAACCGGCCTAAGTTTGCATCGTTTCTGGATCCCTTTTGAAAGGGGTCCCTTGGAACACCAAGGCTTTTCGCTGTCCCGAATTTTGGGACTTTGCCATATTACGCACGTTTCCTAAAATCTGACATGGAAACCCTTTTCGATGGCCAAGAAATTAGTGAGTTGTTTCCCGTGTTTTTGCTTAAGGCTAAAGAGAAGGTCTGTGATGATGAGCCCAGCCAACCTGTGCATGCGTTTTCTTAAGATTTTTGAGGGTACCCTTCCAAGTTCCCGTTGCGAGGTGATGTCCTTCGCGAGCTTCGTCCGGAGCTGGGCCAGCGACGAGGAGCTGCTGGTGGCGGGGCTCTCCAGCGGCCAGCTGCAGGCGGTGAAGTTCGACGGGGGCGCCCGTCGCTTCCTCTTCGAGGGAGCCCATGGAGACGAGGCGAAGAAAGGGATGGGACGAGGGCGGAGAATCAAAAGGAAAAACTGGTGGCCCTGGCGACCAGAGATTTTTGACGGTCTTTGAATGCGGAACAATTTGCCCGTTGGTTTTGCTGCGTTCACAATGCGACGAGTCGCGAAGCCCACTTTGGAACTGAAGGACAGGTGCCGGGATCGCAAAATGGGGTGAGGAAGTGGACACAGCAGGTTCCAGATGATTGCTTCAAGAGCTGGCCTCACAAGGGGCTGGCTTTGTCCCTTTGAGCGGACCGGGTCCCTCAACTGAGCCGCAATCCAAACGCAGGCAGTTGAACCAGGGAGAAGTCCTAGCCAGAAGCAAGCCCTTTGCTCCCTGCAGATCAACGTGGATCCCAAAAAAGGGGTGTCCCAAAAGGAGTCTCCACAACACCGGGTTCCGTGCAGGTCCTCAGGTACCAGGTTTGTTTGTGACGCAAGTGGGGAAGGGCAACCTGTCGCAGGTGGTGGCTCTGGCACTGAACCAGCGCTATGTCTTTTCAGGGAGCGGAGACCCGGGGTACCACCGCAGGCGGGGAGTGGGGAGGGCTGGGGGTTGGTAAAGATTGGATGGGTCTTTATGGGGTCAATTAGTGGGGCCCCTAGTCAATTGGAAGTATGCACAAGTTTGCACGGCTCACTCATTTGCTTTCACAAAACAATCTTCGAAGCTTGGATGGTCAACTCACTCCCTTCGAACTTTGGTTACCCTGAGGCTCAAAGTGCGTCCTACGCTGTACCTGCAATATGTGGCATGAAGGGCCCCAGTTTCACAACATCGGAGATGACCTCAGATGGCTCCCCAATTGTTGTTTCCTGCTCCAAATGACGAATCGCGCCTTGTTCAAACTACAGGATGCTCGGAGCTGGAGAGCCGTTGTTTCGATGGAAAAGGTATACAGCACCGGCAAAAGAGACAGCTTCATCCAGGCCCGAAATGATTCGGGACAAACACGCGACCTTGGCTGACTTTTGCCGGTTCAGCTTGCTAAACTTGCGCTTTGGAATTTCCACAAGGTGGGCCATGGCTCAATTCTGACCATGGGACCTCGGAAGGCCTCAGCTGGCAAGGGAGCGGGAGCAGCACCGTAGGAAGACACCCACGTTGAGCTCACTTTCTCCTTGATACTGTCGGTCGGCCTTGGTGCATCTTGTTTTTGTCTAAAGCTGAGCTCAAGCTCCTCTTGAAGCCGCCGACAATGCCCAACTGGATGTGAACCACATCCTTGTCGGAACAAGGAAAGCCCCTTATTTCAGGGTCTTCCATGGTGCTTCGTAAAGCTCCTGTTTGTTTTTTAGGAGCAAGTGAATCTTGTTTACCTGTACTTCCAGAAAACGTGGTGACTTGTCATCATGGCAGTCGTGCTTGATATTCCATCTCGCCAATCACTGCTCACACCTGCTTTTCTCCAGTGTCTGGCCAGCTGTCCGATACCTCACTTGGAACTTGGGGAGGAGGCTGACCAGCATCCATCTGCCCACCAGCACTTGAGTGGACGATCAGCGCAACAAGGTGCCACACTCATTTTTTTTTTTTTTTTTTTTTTTTTAAATCTCTGCTTGATGAACAGCCAGCGCTGTTGCCATTGTCATGTCTAATGCTTGAACCTTCTGCAACAATGTCATCAGGCACCCCCAACCCCCCGTCCTGTTTCCCTAAAAAGCATCCCCCAAGCCATATTTGGCCTGGAAGCCTGGGAGTGGGAGGGATGGATCCTATGCTCAGTTGCCTAAGTAACCCAGAAACAAGTTTCAGCTTTGGAACCTGCCCTAAAACGGTCGGCAAGTATGACTACGGCCGGACTCCCGTGATGGACAGCTTGCCTGCGCTTGTCTCGCCCAGCTCCAAGCTGTAATCCTCTCTGACTGTTTCGCACTTGCGCTTTCTTCATGCACAGGGGCGCACGTTATGTCGATGATGGCGATGTAGCCGTGGCAAAGGGGGTCGTGGGTCAAGCCCTTGGCGCAAGTATTGATAGGATATTCCCAACAGCCATTAGCAAACAATCATCAAGTGCAACACCAAATCAAAGGGACAACCATTCTTCTTCTCCACACACAGTACTATTAGAACACTCCACAGCACATACCTTGCAGCATCTTGGGCATGAAGCACTCTGTGATGTGACCCACTTACCGGCCGTTTCCCCCTTTTTGAATTTGACTTTGACAGGAGAGCACCATGAACCCATGTTTAAGGAGGCCGCCTATCATCAATTTTTTTGCACTGGTCACCATTTTATAGCGAGATCACCTGAGGACAACACCAGCTTGCTCATGCTGAAGGCCCTTACTTCGATATAGATGGGTGAATGACAGCAATGAATGGTTTTTGGGAGCGGGGACACATTTCCCACAAGGTTCGGCCAAAAATCCGCTTCTCGCCAGGCAGCCCCGGGATGCCTCCGTGCGGCTTTGGAGCCGTGAGGGGAAGCAGCTGGGGGCCTTCGTGGGCCATCTTGATTCTGTGCGGGCAGTTGCCCTGTGCCTGGACATGAAAAGGTCTCCTATCCCGGATCCCGTGCATGTGTGGACATGGTCCAAGAGCGAACCTTCCAGGATGGCTACCATCCTTTGGCGCTTTTGGGTATCTTCCGTGGAAGGGGAGGGCTGACATTGGGTGACCTAACCTCCCAAGGCAGCATATTTTGAGCAGCGTTTTCTTTCTTACCCGGTCATTTTGCAAAGAGCAGATGGACACATTCTGGCAATCCTTGCGCGAGACTGAAGTTGCAGAAGTTTTTGGACGATTCGGGGAAGGTTTGTGTCTCAAATAACATACCCCCCCAACACAAGTGGACACGCGCTCGCGGAAGCAAAAGCACACAGCCCATGCCCGCGGAAGCTTGCGGAAGCTGTTGTAACAGAGCCATGCCCGTGCAAGCTTTCATAATGTCATGCGAACAAATCAAAGTATCAAACCCAAAGCTTCGGGTTTGTCTCCAAATAGGAGAGCCCCAAAGTGGGTGGGTTCCCTTTGGTGATCCTGAATAACAAAAGGCACGCCTTTTTGCTGAATTGTTTGTTTTTTGCAAATGTGGCTGTGCGTAAGAAGCCAGCGACTTCTTCCAGGAGCACACGCATTAGTATAAAAGCAGCTGCTCGAGGTGGTTTCGCGTTTTCTCTGCTGGTTTGGAAGGGAACTGATGAGGCAGCTATAGCTGGTGAAACTCTCATTCTGCAGGAGCACACGCATGTGGCAGAAGAACAACAGCAACTCAGAACTCGTATCCCAATTTTGCCACGTACTTACTCCGTTTGCCGCAATGCGAACATTGGCTTGATCTTGTATTGGACTTGGTTCACGTTTTGACAACAAGCTCGAAGCAAGTCGAGGGCGACCATCTCGTTTTTCAGTGTTCTTTTTCCCCCACGCTTTCAAGTTCGAAAATGGCACCTTTTCAGTACCAGTGTTGTGCTAAGTGCGCTTCAGCAGCTCCAGCTCCAGAAACACAACTTTTCGGATGAGTGCGCGAAGCGCCCGAAGATCGCACTTTTTCAGTGCATTTGCAGTGCGCGCTTCAGCAATGCCTCACTTTGCGTGGCCATGGTACTTGTTTTGGACTCGTCCTGAACTCGGTTTGGTTTGTTGGTTGTTCTGCACCCCGATACTGCTTTGAGACCTTACTGCCGCCGGCAGAACCTCAAGAGCCGCAGGGTCTAGTGTGTCACAACTATTCGGACGCGGCCACTGCATAGTGTTGGATACCCATCTCTGTCCTGCTTCCGCGTGAGATTGCCCTTGCACGTGGCACATTGTGCAGCTCGATGGAACGCTGGAAAATGCGAGCTTAAACCCCAAAGCCAGCCGCATACCACAACAAACCTTTGAATCGCGGGTGACTATGACTTGACATCGTTTCATCCTGCTTCCTATGGTTTTCTGCACCATCTCGTCATTTGGGGGGACCTCGTTTCAGCTCTCAACTCTTTAGGGTCCGTATATAGCAACTGTGGATTTCTTGGGTCGCTATGGGTTCTCCAAAGGCGTGTTCGCATGGGCGCTATTTGGTTTCTATGGGAGGTATTCTGGTTTTGCCTCGCTTGGATTGTCCAAAGTAGCATGCGCCAAGGTTCCAGCAGCTCCCAGACTTCGGGCTCTCTGGGGGAATGGACTGCCGCTGGGTTGCAAGGCGGACGTTTAAAGCAATGGGCGTGCCGTTTTGGAGGTGCCTTGTGGTGGTTTGAAGGGACACCGAAAGCGACCCCATTTCAAAGCATACCCATACTTAGCATGGTTTAAACATCTTTTTGCGTCTTCGTTCTTTGACAAGAAGGATAGAGATGCTTTCTTAGTCAATCATGCGCCTAGCATGATTGATTAGGTTTCTGGCTTGGGGCTATCCTTGTTGTATTGAGATCTGTGGTTTTTCAAGAGATGTGCGTTTTCCAAAACAATACAGGGAGCGTTCTGCTTGGATGCTGTTCTGATCGGACACAGAGGATTTCCACACGGGCAGTGGGGGCACCGCCAAACGCTTGGTTTGGTGTGTCTTCCCTTGCATGTTCTCAGAGAGTGCGGAAATGCCCCGACCATTCCCAATCGAAGTCCGGTTGTATTCCTGAAAGCAAAGTGAAGAACCAGACAGAGCATTCGGCTTCCCTTTTGTCTCAATCATAGAACTGTTCAGGTGTAACATGGCACTCGCAACACCCATGCATCCTTTTTGCGGACCCCCCCCCTCATGGGTATACACCCCGTCCCCAGTGAGAACCCATTTGCAGAAAGGAGATGGGCCGAGGCCACGTGGTCCTCTGGGACCTGAAGGCCGGGAAGCGGTGCAGCCTGCCCTTACCCAGGCCCTGCCGCTGCCTGCGGGTGCTCTGCGAGGACAGGGCCATTGGCCGGAGGAGTCGCCCAACCCCGCACCCTCACGTTTGTTGGCTGGAAACTGGACGCAGTTGGAATGCGGGGGACAACAAAAGGGGTCACAGGATTCCCCTTCAACAAGTTGAGCCATTTACCGGCGGTTTCCATTGAAAATGCCACTTTTGGAGGTTCCAAGGAGGGACATAGAGGAAACCCGGCAAAATACCCGGGAGCAGTTCGGCTGGCGAGGTTTCTTTGGCCAGGACTTCCAGGACAGCCGGGCGCGGGTCCTGGCGGGCTTTGGGAACAGCGTGGCTGAGCTCGCGGTGTCGGCGCGAGCGAGTGGGGCGTCGCTGACCCCGCTAAAGTTCGTGTATGCCCATGTGGAGGCGGGAGCCTTCTTGGTGACAGGGCGCAAGGCTGGCATGTGTTTCGGACGAATCCGTGGAAAGCCCAAATTGGGAGTCCTATTGTCCATTGTGGTGGAGGGGCCTACCTGGCTGGACGGAGATTGTAATGCGGCCTGCAGGAAGTTGTTTTGTTTGTTTTTCCCCTGTTGTGTTTTGTTCCTGTCAGGCTGTTCCCACGTTTAGGGGAGGCGGGGAAGGCATGGAACTCTTGGCGTACAGAGGGAGGCATTTGCAGCTCCTTGTTTTAATTGCGGGGTGTCGTTTTGAGGGTTCCCCCCCTCCCCCCGCTCTCCCCCCACCAAATGGGTAGTGCCCAATTTTAGCTTCTTGATCAACTCATGGCTATGCTGTATAGCCACATCCTTTTCATGGGATTGATTAGAAGGGCCTGCTTTGACCCTTTTTGGTTTGCTTGCCGGAACTACCCAAAAGGTGCTGGCTTTAGCCCTGGTGAGCAAGGTTTCACTTGACCCAATGGTCTCGAGTTGTCCATAAGGTGTCCTCCCTGAGCTGCTTCCCGCCGGAGGAGTCGCGCTGGCCCAAGAGCTTCTTGAGCAGCATGAAGGTGAGGATATGCCATTTCGAGCTATGTTCGAATTCATCCGGAGGAGTCCCCACAAACAGATAGCTCCTCACTAAATGTTCGGTTTTTCTCTGATTACGTGATTACGAGTATGATTCTCCAATCCGAAGTGAGCTTTGACTCTCAGGTCCAGGGGATTTGTTGCAAACTGACGAGGTGCCAACCACGAAACTGAGACGGGCCGTAACAGCGCCGATGCTTCGACCGGCAGGTGGCTTTGGGCAGCGTGGACGGCCATTTTGCGCTGCTGCAGGGCGGTCGCTGCCGCGCGCTAAGGGAGCTCTTTCAATCCGAGAACATGGCCAATGAGGTGGTGTCCCTG